GGAGTAAGTTGTCGCGAGCGCACGGCGCGCAAGAGTCGTGCGACGACGAGACGATGACCGTATACACTCAAAGAATTTAAGAATTCCGCTAACAGCCGCACAGAGTCAGGTTGCGCCTCTCCCTACAAACCTCCCCTTCCGTCTCGTCAGCAAAACCATCGGCCAAGGCGCATACGCTTCCATCCGCAGAGCCGTACCCGTCAACGCACCAAAGCCAGTCATCGCTATCAAATTCATCAACAAAGAACATGCCTTTAAGACCGGCCGGCTCACGCCCAAGATGATCAAGATGGAGATCATACTACATTCACACCTGAAGAAGCACCCGCATATCATACACTGTCTGGGCTCTGGCGAAGACACACTATGGACTTGGATAGCCATGGAACTCGCCGAGGGAGGAGACTTGTTTGACAAGATCGAGGCAGACGAGGGTGTTGGAGTCGACATTGCGCATTTCTACTTCTCCCAGTTGGTTAGTGCGGTTCGATACATGCACTCCCAGAACCAGCTTCTTCGTACAGGCGTGCGTGTCGTGGTGGTGAGGGTTGTTGGGTCGAGGTCATAGATATTACCTCCCTCTCAATCGTCTCGCCCTCGTCATAGACACGACCGACCCACGAGTCGCCCTGAACGTAGTCAAGACAGGGCCACATCCTCTCCGCATTGTTGAAGACGCTGTTCCGCGTCGAGTCCACGATATGTTGGCACTGATTTGGAAAGCGGACGGCGGGCGGCGAAAACCCCCTCAGGCTCCCAGCAATGCCAGGTAGCCCAATGGGATATTGCAACGGTCGACCATGGGAGCGCCGAATGAGCGGCAGCAGCTTTCATTCCGTGTTTCAAGCATCTTCGAGAACATGTCGTTGTCTTGGGTATGCGCGCTGGAGATGGCGGTGGTTGGGTGTTGAATGCAGCCGAGCGCAGATGGCCTCGTCCTATAGCGATGGTATGGCTGTCTCCCTCGCGACCGGTATGCCTGAAGTTGGTCACCGCCAGCGCATCGTGGTCGGTCCCGAGGGACCCTCCAATCCGCAGAATCCCCGACATGTCACGAACGCGGCTGCAGTCGCAACCTGGGCCACGTGCACTTGCGTGTGCTGCTCTGCACGCGTGTTTGAGATGAGCAGGTGTTCGTTCTCGGGCGAGTCGCGGGGGTGGGTGCGCGTGAGTGGCGGCGGCCAGGTCGTGGTGTCCTGTCGGGGTGTCCTGTCGGGAACGTCTACGGGACGCAATGGGGGATCATGATAGTCACGGTATCACGGTACTGGTATCGTGACTTGAGCAATCGAGTGGGCAATGGGCGGAGCTGTGGCGCGGATTACGCCAGACGCTTCGTCCCGAGGTCACGTGCTCCGCGTTTCCCCCACCATGCACCTGTCATCAACCTTGGACCCCACATGACGTCTGAAACTCAGCCGTCTGAAGCGCACCCTCCTTATCTTGTCGTTATTCTACTTCCGCTTCATTTCAGTTGGGACCTGCAATCATCTGCCGCCCTGCACCAGGGAGTCGACCAGCTCCCACATCTCGATCCACGCGCATCTGCAACCCACCGAACCTTCCGCACAATGCTGCCTCCTAGCAATAGCCATAGTCATGGTCTTCTACGCGCCGCCAGCACAAAGCAACCTCAGGGCGCTTCGCCCTTCTACATTCAATCAACGCCGTAGCATGCGCATTCACACACGATGCGCAGCACACGCATCCTATACGCACAACGCGTAGCACGCGCATCCTATACACGCACAGCGGACGGAGCAGTCGCTCTGAACGCCGCATTCATCCCGCATGGATCGGCCCATACATCGAGGATGTCTCCAGCTACCTTCTCAGTTTGAATAGCACAACCCGACAGTGGACACTGGTGGTCGCCACAGATGAACTCACGGGCTTAGGTTTATGAATTCCGACTATCGAGGACCTTCTCTCTTTCCGCCGAAGCAGCACACTGCAAGGAATACTATCGTCGGCCAAGCACTTCCGTCGGCTTCGACAGGTCGTCCATGATGCCAACAGACATAACCTGGCTCGTGCTGATGTCAGCGACGACGACGGAACATTGTGGGATGGTTGCGCTGCTGGCGCAGGGGCGCGTGACTTTGGAATCTGGCGACGGATAAAGGTGCCTTGGACAGGACAGGCGAGGTCACTGCCGTCGGTTGTGTTCACAGATCATCTTCGATACTGCAGCGCTTGCAGTTCGAGGCACGATGTACAGCACAAACATTGTGTACAGTTCTACCGCAGGCACATGCCGCACTTGAGTAGTCAATGCACTTCAATTACACTTGCCAAGTCGATTGCAATACCAGCCCCATCTCGATGACTGGAGTCTGAGGTCTTTAGTATCGATGGGCGTTCAGCTTGACATCCGAGTCTCTTCCGCACGGCCAGTAAACCCAGGTCGGCTTTGCAGCCACCATCCGAAACGGCTCCCAGCCTATTACGTCACACTAGCTCGTTGCTGCTATGGTAACAACAGCGTGTCGAAGCTTTGGGCTCAATGCTATTGACAATTCGCGCAATCCATCTCGCCTTCAATTTCATAATAGCCCTCGGTCTGCTTTCCCCAAGCCGCACATCAGGCCCGTTCTGCTGGCTCTTGCCGAGCAAAGGCTGCAAGAAGCTGATACTTGTTCGTCGCCTTGAGCACTGTTTGCATCATCGAATTACTTTTGAATGTGAAGAGCAGTTACTTGGCTTCAGAAGAGTCCTGTCAATCCTGCTGCACCGCCGTACAAATCGCCCTTTTCGGTGTGCTCAACTGGGCTGTGAAGCTAACCGCTGTGGTTGCGGTGAACATGGCGAGCAGGGATTGTAAAGACGACTGCGGAGACGAAAGGCATGGAGAAACTAAGCTTGTGGATACTTCCTACGACCCGCAGTGGCCGAGCGTGAGACTTCGGGCTGCCCGAAATTTCGGCTATTGTATTCAAGCTGGAGATGTACATGATACTTCCTATGTACCTGGAGTTGCACATGATACTTCCTATGGCCGAGCGTGAGACTTCGGGCTGCCCGAAATTTCGGCTATTGTATGTATTCAAGCTAGAGATGTACATGATCCTTCTTCCTACGGCACGCAGTAGCCTGAGCGTGAGACTTCAGGCAGCCCGAAATTTCAGCTATTGTGATTAAGCTAGAGTTGTACATGATACTTCTTCTTACGACTCGTAGTGGCCGAGCGTGAGACTTCGGGCAGCCCGAAATTCCAGTCGTTATTCAAACCTGGAGTTGCATATGTTACTTCCTATGGCCGAGCGTAAGACTTCGGGCAGCCCGAAATTCCAGTCGTTATTCAAACCTGGAGTTGCATATGTTACTTCCTATGGCCGAGCGTAAGACTTCGGGCAGCCCGAAATTCCAGTCGTTATTCAAACCTGGAGTTGCATATGATACCTTCTATGGCCGAGCGTAAGACTTCGGGCTGCCCGAAATTCTAGATAATATATTCAAGCTGGAGGTTGCATACGACTCGCAGTGGCCGAGCGTGAGACTTCGGGCTGCCCGAAATTTCAGCTGTTATACTCAAGCTGGAGTTGCATACGACTTGCAGTGAGCCTGAGCGTGAGACTTCGGGCTGCCCGAAATTTCAGCTGTTATACTCAAGCTGGAGTTGCATACGACTTGCAGTGAGCCTGAGCGTGAGACTTCGGGCTGCCCGAAATTTCAGCTAGAGTTGTACATGATCTTTCCTACCACTCGCAATAGCCCGAGCGTAAGACTTCGGGCTGCCCGAAATGTTAGCTAGAGTTGTACATGATCTTTCCTACAACTTGCAATAGCCCGAGCGTAAGACTTCGGGCTGCCCGAAATGTTAGCTAGAGTTGTACATGATCTTTCCTACAACTTGCAATAGCCCGAGCGTAAGACTTCGGGCTGCCCGAAATGTAGCTGCAGTATCCAAGCTGGAGTTGTACATAATCTTTCATACAACAGCCCGAGCGTGAGACTTCGGGCTGCCCGAAATGTAGCTGCAGTATACAAGCTGGAGCTGTACATGGTCCTTCCTACGACTCGCAACGGCCCGAGTGTGAGACTTCGGGCTGCCCGAAATTCCATGATCTGACATGTCCAAACTCTGACGAACTGCCAAAAGTTCCTCACTGCTGAAGGACGGCTTTTCTTCCAAAAGCAGTCGCCGCCAACAAAGTGAATCAATTATGCCATGGGCGTTGCCTGGTTGGTGGCTTAGCGCGAGTGATGGTCGCGCTGAAGTGAGCACCTTGTTCAGATTTGGCATCCACCACCCAATATTCGTCCGCCCGTTGCTGGGATCTATGAAATTGAGTTTGATCTGACAGTGTCACGATTGGAATCACATCTCCCTCCTGCACCATGGGAGTCGCACATGCGTTCTGCAAGTTCGATGGAGCTCAATCGGTACATCACGACGGCCAATTCAACGCGACTATGGTGACTAGGCCGACAACAAGACCGGCTGCAAAAAGGATCACGATTGTTGTCAACGATACAAGGAGATCATGCGGGCAAAGAACAAGGTAGCGTCCAATCGAATACCGGAAGTGCGCAAAACAACTGCTCAAATCCACGCTACGGCATGTTCCTTGTGTTCGCGAGGACATTACGGACGGAGCTCGATCTTGGCATAGCCATCTTGTAATTGTATGAATCTGAGCTTCCTCCATAGAAACTAATCGCAAAAAATAATGCAAAATTGCTAGTATTTTGCTGACACCTCGGAACGCTCGGAAATTTCGGAACGCGTACGAACATCAAAACTTTGAAAAACAGCCAGTTGCACGCATTTGTAACTCTATGCAGCAATAGCTATACCACACTTCTTAAAATTCTATTCAGAGCAAAAGGATCGCTGTATACGAATTAGCTGCCAGCTAGTGTATTATGTAGAATAACTGTATAATGGTGGTGCTGCAAAAACTGCTCAGGTGCCTCTTGAAGTTCGCAAAATCAACTTTTGCCCGAGTACTTGATTCACCAGGTAGGCCACCATACCCCAGACGCTAGCGCAGCGGACCCCACCCCCATATCCGGGGCAAGTCCACCCCTCCACTCAGCCATGCTCCCTGTCCAATTCGCACAACCACGAGTTCTACCGCATTAGGCGCGCCGACGTGCGCCCGCTGCTTCTCTGCTACGCATTCTTCTCAAGTACCGTCTAGGCTCTCTGAGCGCCTCCGTGCCATGTCGACAACCTCACCGAAGCGCAGCGTGACGCGGCGCAAATCGCATCCTCCTACTCGGCGACGCAGCTGCTGGGAAGAGGGAAGCCGGGGATAGCGCACCACCCAGAATCTACAATCAGCACACATGCAACACCTCAAAGCCTGTCTTTACTAAAGCTGTACAGCTGTCAAGACGCGATGACGCTGCTTTCACCGAAGCCTTCAGCATGTCCTCGCCTCACTGCCTGACGGCGGGCAGGTAGCAGAGCAGCCCGTCTTTGCGCTGCGCGCGTCGAGCGTCGAGCGCCGACCGTTATCGACATACACCTTCGCCTCGTTGGGGCGAGCTAAGCGAACGAAGTTTCACTTCCGGTACTGCACAGAAACGATCGGGACGAGGTTCTGTCCTTTGAAGACAAATGGGGAGGCGCGAGGAAGGCCGTGGTCAGCTACCGAATCATGGACGTCTCCACTCAAACAGCTCCCTCCGTTCATCCTTCGGCACGAGGCCGTCCTCAGGAACGATAGCTCAACCATCGTCTCCTGCTCGTTGGCGAGGCGCATACACTGGTGGTTGTCCAAGTCAACACAAAATCACGCCAGGGTCTTTGCCACCTACCAGGCCTCATAATGGATGGACAGTCGGCGCTCATTTGCAGCCACCTCGCTGTAAACGCCGTGCTGTGCACGATGCGGTGCAGGTCACCTGCCAAATGCTTTGGCTGGGATGTTTGTGGGAACGAGGCGAGAGTGGATTGCTCCTGGTGTTGAGTTCGCCATGACCGGGACAGAGACGGGCCGCCGTATAAGCGAGGAGGTCTTTGACAACACGAAGAGTACATGGGCGCCGTGGGGTGAAGACGCGTAGAGCGAGGCCTTGATTTACAAACGATGATGAGAGATGGCGAGAAGGCGAATAGTTTGTATTTTCAACTATTCTGTTTGAAAAACTCGTGTTTCGCACACCGGGTCTTTTCAAATGTTAGTCACTCGAAAGACGCGCTGTCGTGGTAGACAGTAGCTGCCAGTGAAAACGTATCGAGCAGTTTGACGGGTTCCTGGCGCAAAGATTCAAGCCGGAGACGCAGGATCCAATAACGTAGACGCATTACCTGAATGAACAAGTACCCGAATCTTTTGTTGTGGGTTTGCAAATGCATCGTATCTCATAGTCCGTCTTCATGGCGTCGTTCAGATCAGCGCCGCCTGTTCGCCGCGAGGAAATGACACGCTTCGATTGTGCAATCAGTTCTCAAGGTCCCTGAGGGTGGAATTTCGCCTCTTAATAGCTTGAAAGATTGGCACCCAAAGTCCCGTTTAACACGACTGTTTCCAATTCGGGCTTTGCGGGAGTATCCTTCAAAGAGAACCATGCTCAAGATCCATCACGCCCACGCAAGAACGACGGCTTGGGCAAGCATCACGTAATACATCGTGCATCTGATCATAGTTTCTTCCCCCATTATGAGCTGGGATTGAAGGTGCTAGTATTGCGGTTGTAGTCGCATTCATGTTCGCATAGTCAGTACTTTTAAAAGCTGCATCGTTCCCTAACAACATTATCTTAAGAGATGCGAGACAAAGACCACTCGCCTCGATGGCCGCAGTAAGTAGTCACCTACAGTACGAGACAGTATCCACGCGTTGTTGTGTCGTTGTAAAATATTTACCAAATTTCCTTACGTAGAAAAGGGGACGTGGTACTACCCTAAACCTGTGCGTTGCATACGTTACGGTACCTGGCATTTCTGTGTTCCATGAGCTTGATAGACCCGCTGAGTACCTTTTTTGTGGTTGCAAAGACTGGCGGGTTGGCTAGTGAATCGGCGACTGCACATTGTGGTGTTTGCATACACGCCTGAGGCAGGAGTTGCAGACATCTCGTCCTCGAGTATCATCATCCTGTTGTGATTGAGAGACTAAGCGGATGACCCGGTAGGCTAGCCTCATTCTTTTTTTTGCTTCCGAACAACTTAAACCTGTGCTAAGTAGTAGGGTTTTACATTTTCAGTGTCACCCACTGCAGACCTCCGCCGGAGATTGCCAACTGTTAACTGCCCGAAGAGCTCCACCGGCTGCTTTGCAAACTCCCAAATCGCAAGGAAGCCGTCAAATAATCACCCTGCAAGCAATTTCATCACAGCTCTGCCAGACCTGTTGCTCGTCCGGGAGGCAGGACATCTGGAAGCTTGAGCGGCAGTCTCGATATGAAGCGGCGGCTGAGTTTTCTCGTGGAACAGTGGGGAAAGACAGGCAGCTATGCCTAGATCACATTCACGTGCTACATATTGCATCGATCTGTCGATCGTGTCAGCAGCTTGATGCAACATTGACACTATTTACACAAAAGAGTGCTCCTCCCAAGAGCCTGAGAGCACATTGCCGCTCAAAATTGCAATGGCTATCGAGATTGTAGTTTAGGAGGACCTCGAGGAACACCCATCAACAGGTGCTTTGTGAGTGTACCTTGTGTGCATCGTATTCGAGCAGTGAAAGTCCCTTTCAGTGCTGTTCGCATCACAAATCTCGGTCAACCCAAGAGACTGTTCTTGCATCTGATGGGCGATAGCCCATGAAGTCTGGGAAGTCCGTGGCGTGAGCCCGATCTATCGGACGAGGAGTGAATTCAACGGTCTCTAGAGGAGCCTGATACAAGTCGGGTGTACTGTTACTCGCAGATAGCCGCCTCATGAAGTACAGCATGTGTGAAGGGATGACGAGCATGTACCAGAGTAAAACAAAGGCTAGGAAGAAGATGGGAAGTAGCAAGGCAATCCTACAGAGTGTCCTGCGGATTTGTTTCCGGCTGTGGCGAAAGTGGTGTTGGTCGCGGAACAATAGTGACATCGCTGACGGCTTGAACCTGCGCCACTGTGACGGAGTCACAGTGGAAATTATCGTCTACCATAGTGATGTGCAATTGTACTTCGAGTAGAAAGCCAGCATGACGTAGGAAATGCAGTTGAACAAGGGAGGCTGTCTAGCCGGATGCGGCCATTCAAACAAACAAACATGCGTCCTTCACAAAGCACTTTCTAGAGACTTTTGCTGTTGTATTTCGCTCACTCCATCCTCCCTCGCAACTTCTTCAAGCTCAAGATCGCACCCAGATCACCATGTCCGCCTCACGACATGCCATGTCTTCTGCACTAGTCCCAAAACAAGCCGCACCCAGTGCGCCTGCGCCTCGCATGCCCATCTCGGACAAACATACCGTCGAATTGCCTGCATCCAAATCCTCGTCATCAGTCATCTACACCAAATCCGCGCGTGTGTTGGTGAACGTCTCCGCGCCCGACGGTAAAGGAGCCCCACGCAGGATAACGGTCAACATTACCAAAACGTCCCCTCGCCGCTACCAATACACCAGCTGGGATGCCCACCAAATGGCGCAGGATCTGGTGCTATTGAGCATACTGGCAATCATAGCTAGCGGATTCTGGTGGCTGTTCTACAGCGACCCTACGACCTATGGCCCTAGGGTGGACGTGCGGGGACCGAGACCAAGGCGCTGATCAGGGCGAGAAGGTGCATGGAGCAAAACGGCGGAAGGTTGTTGCACGTGGACAAGTCGCACCAGTGATGGGGACAGCACAAGGTTGGACGTCTAGTGAGGCACTCAAATGAGGCTGAATGTCGTGCAGAGCAAGCTCATTAGGAGCTATGTCGCTCTAGCAAAATTTCGGGGAAATGGACTCTCTTGGTGGCTTATTTGTTTAGCTTAGCCTTTCAGCGTGCTGACGACGACATACAGCCTGGGACACCGTGCAAAGCTTACCCTGACATGGTTTGACAAATCGCAAGATCCTTTTTTCACCAAATTTCAGAATGACTTCAACACCTGATCGTGACCTCTCTGCGCACACGCAAATGCCTTCCCTTTACTTGTGAAACTTTTGGACGCCCTTTGTGTCGTCGTGTATAATCTGGCGCTCTTGAAACAGCTTCAGATGGCGTGAGGTCGAACTACACCTGGAACTTTTTGGGCTCATCGTGTGGCGACAGCGTTTGACGTGCGCAGTAAGTAACGAATAGCCTGTGGGCGCCTAGAGTCCGATTTCGAATTCGGCCTGTACTCTTTCACAGGCTTTCGGCTGCGGCGCGGATAAGGCGTGGTCATATCTCGCTTGGCGCCACGTGACGGAGGCGCAGCCTGCCAAGAACGAGAGAGGTGATGGTTTTGTGTCATCGTTGATGTCTTTTATTCACAAACCTACTCATTTTACGCGTACATATTCAATCCCTCGGCATTATCTTCCCGAACGGTATTCTATCCCTGCGCAACAACCAAGTCTCTCAACTCTCAACAACATGCCAACGACAGAGGAGATTGACAGAATTGGAGCACGTATCACGAGAATCAGAACTGAGCTGCGTCTATCTTCACCGGTCACTATGGTCAACATCTTTCCTCGCCCCGCAGCATAGACCACAAAGAAACCTGACGCGAAGCGTTGTTTAGTATCCTAGATCCAGCAATGTGTTCAGTCCCTCCCGATCCTGGCGCTTTACCATGTCCATCATGTCCATCATCTTCATCATGGGCGCAATTTTAATGGTGTCACTACTACTTCTAGTACTGCCTACTTCTGCTCTTGAGCGCCAGGAACCAGCGGCTGGCTGGCTAGACGTAGGTCGTACCGCGCGAACAAAAACTAGATCGCTTCATGCAAGTACTGCAACCGTCTTTGAAGACGTTTCTCAGCTTCAGAAGGTCTTCCTCGCTGCGCGGTCCAGTCTCCAAGCTCGAAATTCCGTCGCTCTTGATCCACTCTTCAAAACATAGGCGCCAAACTGGCCGAAGTGTGACGCCGGCGGATTAGCTAGACTCCAATCATCGACGGCAAACGGCGCCCACGAACTTCCAAGGCTCGAAGCACGGGCTGGAAAAGTAGAGTTCCTGGACATCACCGTACTGGAGCATGGGATCTTTCAGTGCGAAGATGAGCCATTTTCCAATCCAACCAAACTGAACAAGGAAGCACTCTACGCGTCACCACCAGTCAGGCACATCACACGCGGGCCATTTCCTACGACGAGCATATCTGCACAGGAAGGAAGGACGGGATATGCGTCTCCCTGGTTGACTTTGCCGTAGCTCCTTGAAGGCAATAACATCCTGTCCACAGTTGGCCACGGCTCGCCATTGCGCTTCCAATAGACTGCTAACAAGAGTACGATTGAGTAGGCTAGAAAATGACCCTCCTTCATTCGCATTAGCATTTCTAGTCAAGGTCGTGTGTCCCGCTTCCCTCTCTCCCCCCTTCACTTCGCGTTGCCCTCTTCGTTTGTGTCATCGATCTGTTCTGTCGAAGTTTCAGAATCACCAATCATCGTTTCCAAGGCAAGTTGCCTCTGAAGCACTCGATTCGTGGCAAGGCTTGCTCTGCATGCATCCCGGAGTTCCTTGTTCTCTCTTCTCTTTTCTGTGAGCGTATTCTCTAGGTCTTTGCTGTTTACACGGCATTCTTTGAGAGTGCTTGACGATATCGTGTTGATCCTTTCCAGTCCATCCACGCGATCGCGGAGCTCCCGCGCCTGCTTTTCGTATCGTTCGATGGCTGCACTGTGCTTTGCTGTCGTTTCGTCTCTGTTGTGCTCAAGCTGAGCAACGCGTTTCTTCAGGCTGTCTATCAATTGGTGTGGGCCCATGTCCCATGTTGCCGACGAACCGGTTTGTTGTGTGACCATGCGCCGTGAAGGATTACTTTGTGCTTCTCGCTGTGCTTGCTGCGCCGTCTCCAGTTTCGACTTGAGCTCTGCTACTATCGCCTCATTGTTCACTTTCTCCTCCTTCAGCTCGTCAAGCACATCTAGGTAACGCTGTATAAACGTCGACTGCATGTCTTCTGCTTCTCCTGGTATTCCTGCTCGTTCTGAAGTTGAAGAGAGGGCTTTCAGCATCCCGCCTTTGTCAATTTGCTCGTCGAATAGCTGGCCTGTTGTCGCAGGGTCTTGTGTGTTTGAGCGATCAAGGGAAGGTGATTTGGAACCAAAGTTTTGTGCCCCTGAAAAGTCGCTGGGCGAATAAGATGATAGATCATCTGACTCAGCGGGACTTTTGCTTAGCTCTCGCGACTGAAACTGGCGTCGCCTTTCCATTAGACCCAGACTCTTATGATTATGATACATTCGAGCATACGGGTTCGTACCGTTGTTTGGATTGCGACTCTCATACTGATGGTACAATTTGTCATACGGATTGATGATAGGTACCAATCTTGAGATGCCGCCATGTACGTTTGAGGACAGTTGTGGCACAGAGGCATTGTGTCGCTGCCGGCGCGGCAAAGTCGGGCGATTTGGGCGGGGTTGGTCTTCAGTAGGCATCGTACGCACTGTCTCGAGATGGAACGTATGGGCATCCACGACGTGAATGCGAGAAGGCAGGGAACAGCCGAGCTCAATCCAACTTATACCTGAGTGGAGGATTGTTCCACTGCAAGCGGGAGTCAAAGTGTGACAAATCACAATCATGATCAGTATCGAGCAAGCGGAATGAGATGCGCTGAGCCAGAATCAAAAGCAGTATCGAGTTCACGCTCACTTTGCAGGGCAGACTCTAGTTCGACTTTTCAATCGGATTGAAAAGTATTTCTATTGAACGAGATCTTAAAACCGTAGAGACAATGCGAGGAAATCATGATATGCACTACTAACAATCATGAAAACAATGTAAAGTCCCATGAGAACACCACCCACGCCGCAAGCAGCGTCGTTGACCCTCGTATTTCAGCCCAAACGGTAGCAGCGCATCTGACTTGTGAATGTCATGCCCCGCCTGCCTCATGTGCTCAAAATGTCGATGAAGTATTCCGGTACGCGGACCGCAGACATGGATTTGTGGGCAAGGCCAGAGACTGGTCTGTCAAACCAGAACTCGTGACCGCCCTGCGGAGACAAGGTTTGTTCCTAAAGGCCGTGGAAGACAGGGTAAGAAGCGCAACCAGCGAGTCTTCTCAGAGCCTTCGACTGATATGTGAGCGCCTTCCATCGAAGGCGATTTCCATTCGGGGGCAGCCATGACAGGCCTCGGCGAGTGGAAGGTAACGTTGTAGATGTGCTGATAAGCTGCCCATTCTTTCCGCACATTGCAGTGACAGTAGTCATTCAGCTGCTCAAGCGTTTGAGGCGGCGGTTGCTTTACAGAGTGGAACTAAGACCATGGAAACGAGATTGGGGCGCGGAAGAGTCGCTTTGTTGCGATCCGCATATCGCAATCGCATGGCCGTGTACTCCGCAGTGATGCGAGATGATTGTTCATTTCGTCACGTACGATGTTGCTCCATGCCGGCGTTCTGCACTTCTACCCATGCACCGCCCTCCTTGGCCTTCCTACTGGAGCGTTTCGTGGCAGTGTGCCAACAGGCGTGCGATATCGGATACTGCAATCCCATCCATGGAGCCAGAACTCGCGCGAACCTTGTCGCGGTGCCAGTGCCTTGTCGCCCGGTGATAGTACGATGTCACTCGACCTGAAGAGACAAGGAGCCGCTCATAGAGCGTTGGCGGCAACCGGAGGACTTTGGAGCACGATGCGGCGAGGAAAGACGGGGGACATGACGCCGCGGACTCAAGTGTGCTTATTTTAGACGAGTATTTAACATTGGAACTATGGAAAAGACCTGCTGTACGCCAGTGGCCGCTCCGCTACCTGATTAAAGCTCTGGTAGTAGTTGTTGTTGGCCGCCAGAGACGAAAAGGTGAACAGGAGAGCTGTAGCGGCCCATACCACGGCCTGAACCGCCGGTGCGACTTGTGTATTCCTCGTAGCATGCGTCTGGTGGTTATGATTTCGATGCCAATCCGCACGGATGGGCGCTGGTGAAGACACATACATCACGGATAAATTAGCAGGTGCCGAATCGATCATGACCAAAGTGAAGGATAAGCAATGAGATGAAGCATGTGAATGTCCACAAAACGTTTACTAGAAAACTACGCGCTTGCCCACATCGATTCTTCATGCTTGATCCACTCCCCATGTATCATCGCCACTTCCTATGCTCTAAAGTAGCTTCTGTACAGGCCGGGCTGCTCGATTCGGATTGCGCCGAGGTGCCACTGTCCGGACATCGCGACCGTTTGATACGCGTTGCTTCTTACCGCTGCTAGCACCGCTCTCAGTCTCCGGGCCCTCTCCACGCTTCCGCTTTTCCCCCTGGTAAGCCTGAACACTAGCAGCATCTTCCTTCCAATCCATCTCCTCCGGCTCGACGGCGTTCTGTTGGTACAGAGTTTCTTCAGACACTCCAATGTCGCCTTCATCTCCGCGGCCACTCGCCAGTTCGCAGGCGTCCAAGAGAGTGGGGTTGGCGTTGGCATCTGGAGTCTCCGTCTGCGCCTTGGCTGAGTCAGCTCCGATTTGTTCGCCGCCGCTTGAGGCATCTTCAGTGCGGAACGATGCAGCCATCTGCTCTTGCGCGGAAGCATATGGCTTGCCCTGGCTGTCGGTAGGAGTCTGGACTTGTGCCAAGTCCATGCTTCGCATCAAGCCATTGAAGCCTCGTACAAGTGCACGTCCTGCATATGCGAATGGGCTGCCGGTAGCATCCTGGGCTGGGGGAGACGACATAGTTTCTTGCTGGTCACTCATTTGGTTGATCGATGGGAAACGAAGAAGGGGGGGAATTCGCGTTAAGTATGTGAGATTGTTGTTTGCTGTCAAAGGCCGCGTGAATATTCTAGGCTCTTCCAGTTTTTGCCAGCGAAGTGAACCTCTAGCGCTTCGCCTCACGCTTGTATGTGAGAGAGACGACTTTCGAAAGACTAGAGTCCAAATCTGACGGCTTCACCATCTCCCGTAGAATGCAGGACATGCCACAAATGAACCCAGGCGGCATATCAGCGAGACCTCTCGTTGGCTGTATTGGAGGATCCTCAAGAGTTGCACTACAATGAGAAATATTGGCGGCGAAAAAAGATCGATTTCAAGCGCATCGGGCAAATTTGGAAGTGGATTTGGAGCGATTGCATACCACATACAGGCCTAAAAATTTGATGGGATGACTACAAAGGCAGACTCTGGCACCTTGATGGAACTCGTATAGAAGAACAAATACTGGGACGCTCCAACTCAATTCAAATTCTCGGGTGGCACAAGACCTCACCTTTCAGAAGCACCTGAGCAGTGTCGTAGAACAGCAGAGGCTTTTTACCGAGCAGCCGGATTTCTGAAGATCCGCATACAGAGACTTATATCGAGCAGAAAACAAGGCTAGTAGAACAACTCTCGATGATTATGTCGCCGAAGAGATGCAAGTACAAATTCGTGTTGCTCAAGAGTTGGGTGGAGTTCCGGAGGATGCCCGACGACGAGCGCCGGATCGGGACGTGGACGGCCATGGCTGTCCAGCAAGCAGTCAATAGCGCCATCTTCGAAACAGCACCGAGGGAGAAGCAAATGATGGCGTCCTTGTCGGTATCCACCGTGGATTCAGACACCATCTCGAAGTGGCGCTACTACTCCAACAAAACCCCCAAGTGCGCGACGGTAATCGCCAACGCGTCGAGCGGCAAGCTTGTGCATCGAGCGCCAGACAGGCCGCCACATGATGTCGATGTCGATCTGCGGCAAAGCTATTGGTGGGCGCTCTACCCGGCGGGGCTCTGACGCAAAAAGAATCGACAAAGCTCAGGAAGTCGCCCTGACATGGACGTTGTGCTATTTCAGGCACATTGTGTTCGCTAGTTCGCCGGTCGGCTCGCCCCATCGCAATTGTGCCGGTGCCCGCCGCACGCCACCAACGCGAAAGACAGTACAATGTCTGAATCTACAGAAGAAGAAGCTGAAAACAGGGTTGGCCCCCTTGCGGCGTTGAGCGACATACATGGCGTCCCCTGTTGACCTGGATCGATCGAGGCCACTTTCGAAGCGACGTGCGCAGCCAGTGCAACGATATCCAGTCTGGACCGTTGAACACCAACGCTTGGTTGCGAATCCTGGTAAATGCTTGCCGCGGAGCCAACGTCGGCATGTGTTTCTTGGTCGGTCGGACGGTTGGTTCAGTGATGGGCTGATGGGCTGGTGGGTCCAAGCCACCAACTGTCGACGTTTGTGTGCCGTGGGGCATCCCTTGGTGGCAGCCCTGGCGGCTTTGGATGTTGGCCAAGGAACTCCGCCAGCCGATTCGCTGGGGGTCTCGCACCCGGAGCCTGCATCCAAGGTTGCGGCGTCTTCTTAGGTAGGTGCTACACGTCCATCACCATGCCGAAAAGCCGCTCAAAACGCCCTGAACACGCCACTTTGATGCACAGTTCGGGAACTACACGTCGCGCCGTCACGGAAACTGATGAACAGCAAGGATGCTTCCCCAGGAAAGCCTCATCGCCTTTCGCATCGCTCGCATCGCTTCCCAGAGGCTCTCAAGCAGAGCGCTGGCGGCTGCCCACCCAATCATGGGCTTTCAAATTTAATTCCTCACACCAAAAGGAACGTCATATAGCGGGTACTGCTCTGGAATATCGTCTGATGCATGGCACACCAAGAGACAATTCTATGCCGACTGGGATGTGCCGGTTCCAACCCTAGGGCAAGTCTGGAGGATGTCGGGAAGACTTTGCGACGATCACATCGACCTTGCTGTCGCGCTAGCATTGTTACAGTATTAACAGCGACAGCATCTTCCTCTTTGGTTGTGCATTGCGGCAGGTCAAACGCAGGCCAGCGATGGCCTAGCAAGTACTAGCACCATGCATATTGCCTTCTCCACAAGAATGCTGCACCTGTCGAACGATGCGATCCAGCAATGGCTGGAATAAACATGGCGCCAAACGGCGAGGGACGTCAATCATCAAAGCTCAAACTTCCACATTGAGCGTTTCTGGGGCCGGTGTGGAAAACAGTCCTTTAGCGGTGTCTGTTCTGAGTGTAGTCATATGCATATCCCAGAGTTCCCCTTGCACTACTTTTCTCAAACTTCCACATTGAGTATTTCTGTTGCTGGTGTGGAAAACAGTCCTTTAGCGGTGTCTGTTCTGAGAATAGTCATATGCACACCTCCAGACTGACATGGAATTCAGCCCACATATCCACATTACGCTCGTTTTCTGTGTTACCGTTCTCAAACTTCCAGATTGAGTAACTCTGGTGCTGGTGTGGAAAGCAGTCCTCTAGCGGTGTCCGTTCTGAGCATAGTTATACGCAACCTAGTCACGGAATTCCGCCTGCATATCCAAAGTTCCACATTGCACTCGCTTTCTGTGTTACCGGGGATGATGAGCTCAAACTTCCAGATCAAGTAACTCTAGTGCCGGTGTGGAAAGCAGTCCTTTAGCGGTGTCTGTTCTGAGAATAGTCATATGCAACCTGGTCACCTCCAGCCTGACCTAGAATTCAGCCCGCATATCCAAAGTTCCACATTACAGTTTCTGTGTGACCGGTAATAATAAGCTCGACCTCCAGATTAAGTATTTCTGGTGCGGGTGTGGAAAGCAGTCCTTTAGCGATGTCTATTCTGAGTATAGTCATATGCAACCCACCGCCAGACTGACATGGAACTCCGCCCGCATGTGCAAAGTTTCACATTGTGCTTATTTTCTGTGCTACTGTTGATGATAGCACCCTTGCAATGATAACATGGCTGACTTTTGTACACTCAGTAATGTCTACCAAGTTAGGGGACGGTGCACAGTGGCCCAAGGATATTCACCAATGGCCAGGGTGACCTACACCATGCCGAGATCATTCCCAATGTGCTCGGTGCAATCTCAGCTACCTACTCGAATGCAGAAACGATGCTCAGTCGTCAGGAATCCACTTGCTGTGGTACGATCCTGCGCACGGCGCACCTCACGAAGCTACCTAGGTAGTGTCACCCACGGTATCCTTGGGCTCAGGTCGCAGCAGATTTCGATCCACTGCAAACAAGGATACGTTTGTATGGCAGATGATCAATTCTGCCCATGTTTTGGGTGAGACGTGACGTAGGTACGTGGGAGAGCAGTGTGAGATGAGTTGTAGTGACAAAGGCACTTGCACTCCAATACTCTCAAGACGCCGCAACGGCGCGCGTCATCGGCCATCTGTCACGCATTGGAAAGCCTGGGCGTGTTGGCCGACCATTGTGCTGTAATTACCAAGTTGCTAGAATGGTAGACACCTGGAAAGCTCGAATTCACGAGCCAGTTTTATAACCTCTCGCGTCTCTGCACCCTTTCTCTTGAAAACAAATCAAACTGAACCCAATCTCCATTTCGCGCGTTGATTTATCGCTGAAACTGACCTCAAGGATCTTACCATGTGCCGCACTAGCACAGGGTAGTGGCCAGCTAGCCTCACGTCTCTGCTGATTGGCTCTACAGAATGGCAGCCTTCACTATCAACACATGGCCATTGATCCCCGCCAGTATCGTTTCGTCAATCATCAGGCTATCGAGCATTCAGGATATAGTATGAGCATCTTTGCGACACGCTATGCCATTGCAACCATACTCTTCATCATGGGACACGGGAACTACCAACGCCGACCGGGTAGATGCAGCTTTAGCCCCCTCATTCGTTGTCATTGCATCGTACTGGAACGAAGGTGTCGCCCCTCTCCTCTCCAACAGCAGATCCGACGAGAACTACGACTTCGTCGTTTTGTATTCTCGTTTGCATCCCACACTTTGCAAGCTACCTCCTCCTCCAGAACTCCTCCCTTGGACTTATTGGCACTTGACGGGCATCACCAACAACACGCGCTGAAGCAAACATTTCATCATGCAGAACCATATCGGCAACAAGTTCTACACACCAAAAGGTTGGTCGCACGGTGCATCCGCTCTCTCTTGCGCAATGTAGTAACATCGTGCACAGGCTGGTTTCCGGGAATGCCTCGTCTCAGTCTCAAGCAGCGTCTGGAAGATAGGCGAGCACTAGGCCGGGCAGACAAGGAGGCGGCAAGAACAGCCACCGAAGATGTGTCTCAGCCGACATCCCCCAAGGGCATGCTGAAGTCGAACAACGTGTCGGAGAATGGGATGCACACACCAAGCGTGCGCGAAGGAGCGGAAACCCAGCCGAAAACCCCGAAGAGCATTCTCAAATCGAACAAAGTGTTGGAAGATCGGATGCGCACACTAGACGTGGGAGGAGGAACGGAGCCAAAGCGGGTCAAGTGGGACGAGAGGCTGGTCCAGATCAAGTGGACGTGAGCGTCGGTATCGTTCCTTCAAATCGAAGAAATTCCAGGGCAAAGGGAATCAACGATGGAATCTGAGTGAGGATGCGATGAGTCGTCGTGAACCAGATAGCCGATGGCGTCCCGCATGCCAAGTCGGTTAGCATGATGAGGCGTCATGGGTCATGCTTGACGATGTGGAGGGGGTAGATTGCGCCAGTGAAGCCATTGCGGAGCATAATACAAAGCTTGAGTAGATGGATTGGTACACGGCATACCGCATTTCAAGGGTCTTGACGCTCATGTTTGCTTCTTCAACGCCGTGTCTTTTATGCTAATTCCGATGACTGCATAGGAGAACAAGGATACAAAGTCAAGCCTGCTCGACCGCCAGAACTTGCTGCATTACTCTCCCTCATCGCCCTTCTCAGCCTAAGAATACTCTCTCCGGTCTTTCGAGTATCAGTCATGGTAGTCTTCCCGCACTCCGCCTTGTTACTCACCCACTGACGTACTTTATAGCCATGCGCTCTGCGATTCCTTACGAATATCGGTGCCATGTCCATCAGGCATCACAAGCGTTTGCCGCCCAAACCATTTCAGCAGCCAGGACTCTCCAGTATGGCCAATTGCAAGGGGCATAAGCCAAGCGCCAACGGCGAAAAGCAGTGCCGTACCGACGCGCGCAGTGACCCCAGCTTCCCAGGCTGCCGATGCCACAAGCCTGGCATATCCACCTGTCTTTCAGAATCATGTGTGTGCGTCGTGTCGGGACGCGAATGTGATCCCAGAATCTGCGGCGAGAAATGCGACACACACTGCCGCAACATGGCTATCCAACGTGCCAAGCCGAAGAAGACACGTAAAGGACAGTCTTCCATCACTGGAGGTGGAATTGGACTATTCACGGCCGAGGTTTTCCATCAAGACGACTTCATTGGGGAGTACAGGGGGGAGAAGATTACCAAGAAGGAGGGTGAGCGACGCGCTCTAGACGCCCAGAACAACAACCGTGCAAATTACATTTTTGCGCTCAACGACTGTAAGGTATCGTCCTCTTATGTCGATGCAGGCAGCAACGCTAACAGGCACTCCCGGCACAGATGAAGATGTGGATGCGGGAAGGGGGGGCAACCACACCAAGTGGATCAACAATGCGGACATTGACCAGACCAACTGCTATGCGGCGAACCTTGTCATCGACGGAAAGAACCGCGTTGGTATTTTTGCGGCAGACCGCGTTGAGAAAGGGCAAGAACTGTTCTTCCACTACTACTGGCCCAAAGAGTTCACCCAAGCGTTCGGAACTCCCCCGGACTTCCAAGGTCCGCCTCCCCCGGAACAACAGCTCCTAGAGCGCCATGCACGCTTCGAACGTCGAAATCGCCGGAGATCTCCACGCCACAAGCGAGTCGGGTGAAGAATAAGAACAAAGGAGACCAGGGTAGGCAGGTAGACTTGTGCAAATGCGAAGACACGAGTTTGTTTCAGAGCTACACGACGCTTGACCGTGTCGAACTTCACAATGCTTCTCCCCTCGACGTTGCCAGCTTCCTTGTCAAGCCTGTCCGCTCCTGCTTTGCACCGCGATCCGAGAGCCACGGTCCCCGTGGGACTTGCGCACACATGTATTGGACATGGTAAGCCACGGGATTCGGCGATCCGGGTCGTGAGCGCAACGGCGCTCGTGGGGCGGCGAGATGTACTCCGAGGGCGTGGGTGCAAGGGAACGAGAGGGAGGTTGGAACAAGGTGGAAGACACTACGCGATAGTGCGACGCGGTTTCCAGACTCTAACCTTCAACAGGAAAATTTCTGCTGCTTAGCATGCGCCTAGTATACCCTCCGCAGGCAAGGGAGCGACGATAGTTTGCGCACCGTCATGTCTAGTCTCGGAGACGAAGCGAAGCTAACGGCGTTACGTCGGCTGGCTAGCACCGCACAGTGCAGCGTGCGCCGAGCCATCGCCGGACAACTGTCACGTCAGAATTCCCAGATACAGCCGCGGCCATTGTGCTAGGCTTCACGAACCTTGTTTGGACTGCCACGGTGCTCACGCGCGAGCCATCCGAAATGGCGTTCGCGATGAAACGGCGTGGATCTGAGGAGCTTTGACGGCGCATCGCCAAAGGACAAGGACCCACACTATACGGTACGCCCTCCGACATATGACAACCTCTACTCATCCCGCAGACGTTTGCGCTTGGGTCCTCGGCCGGTACATCTCGGTGAACTCCCACGTCGGGAGAGTGGCAACAAGTGCAGTTCACTCACGTATTGTCGGCCTGTCTGGCATCACGCATGTGCGCCCCTGCTAGATCCGAACGTCATTCGTCAGCGTCTTTTGGCTGCGTTGGGGCTCCATCATACGTGCAATGTGGTGGAGGCTGGACAGGATTTGTCTTTGCGAGTTGATGCGGCATGTATGCGGTGAGTGCCCTGCCACATCTTCACTGGTACAAACACGCACTTTAGACGAACGGGACGGAACGGAAGTATGACAACCTTTGATTCACCGATCCATCTTACTCAATAGGCCCATAGGAACACCGTGTAACTGCAAAGCCAACCACTACCTCAAGATCCATGTGCGATATTGGTCTGCGCGTACTGTCACGACGACATCCATTGCCGCGCGCAGCTTCAACCATCTCTTCGAAAGGATTCCTTGTACCCGTTAGTTCTTGCAAGTACTCGTCTCATGCACGAGCTACCATGATTCAATCACGCCCTGTCGAGGACTAAGATGGGCACATGTTCGCATTGCGCCTTGTTTGCCGATAGACTTGGCTTGCTGGGTGGTTGCTGGATCGAGGCTTGCACGCCTTCTTCAATGATTCGTTTGATCAGTACAGGCGAGGCTTCCTGAAGGATCCTTAGGCGTTTACACGGATTTCCAGGCGCAGCGACAAACATTTTGGCAGTGATGCGGAGTGGAGGAAATGCCTCACAAGAGCGACGGAGATGTGAAGATGCGAACAATCTACCAAACGCAGCGGAAACCAACGAGACATATGTAGGGCATGCCCGCAGCTCAGAGCGGGTTACATTGCATAATGGCGGTTGCCCATTGAGTTGCTTCATCATGCGGCGAGTTGAGCAGGATTGGAACGTGGTAAGTTGGACGAACGGTGCAATTCGAAGTAAGGGAGAGTCCGGACTAAGAAACCCGCACGTCTCGCTGCGCAGCACGACCTGGGGTAGACGTGGGGCGAGGCAAGGGAGGCTGTGGCTTAGTGGGCTTGTAACGGACTGGAGGTATGCTATTCGAGAAGCTTGGATGGTCCTGCTTGATAGACGCCTCCACGACCGTGTCCGCGTTCATGATAGACTGACTGGGCGCCAGGTTGAACCCACTACTTCTCCCAAGGGCAATTGCGTCGCTGTAGGCGACGCGTAAGGGTTACATTCATGTCGTTGGGTACCACGAAGGTGTCACGCATGAAAGCTAAAGCACGGAGGGCGACCGCTCGGGTACGTATTTCGGGCCGTGCAATGAGCTCCCGGAGGCGCGTTGGGAAGACTGACTCCTGTGACAGACTCTTCACTCTCGACGAAGCTTTGCTCGACCCAGAATCCGCTTGCCAGTTTGAGCACACCTGGAATGCACCTGGCAGCACCGAAGAAAGCCGTGGAACTAGCTCCAACCCCCACCTCTCGTCCCTAAACGTTTTGCAGATGCATCGGCACAAATTCCCACGCCTCCCAGCAGTAGCGCCCATCTCACTCAACCCCGCCTCACTCGCGACCTCGATCCCAGCATTTGAGACGGTATCAACAGACACGAGAGCTTCTCCCTCGACGACCCTCCACACTCGCACCGAGCCGCGCACCCCGATCGCAAATACCTTTCGCATCGGCGAAGAGCGCGTGTACGAGATATCAGCGGTTCAATGATGGAGCCAGGAAGGGACGCGTCCAACACATCTCAGCACCGCGATCAGATGCGATTGCCTCGTCCACGCGACGCAGCACAACACCGGCACGAGATTTTGGGTTGCAATGCCCCCACCAGCGACACCTTTGACTCCCCACCAAGCCACGATGTACCCCAAATGGTCCCATCTTACCATCTTACCATCTTACACACACACGGGGGTTTGGGTTATCGATAAGCGGAGACGGCCGGCGCCGTAGCAAGGGTACTGGTGGGGCGCGGGCGCATACCGCCGTCACTATAGCCACCGTGCAAGCCTCGCCCAGCTCGTCGACGAAGCTTACACCAAAGAACTGCGTTGACGCGAAAACAGCCTGAAAAAGCACTGGCGCACCGCACGCACGTTGATCTATGCAATGCACAACCTCCCAAGGCATCGCATTAACGTCTGATGCCACGCAGCTTGGGGATGTCAGCATACTTCACTCGACTTGGGAAGCACGACGACCAGCGGTTTGACCGGCCAACTTCTCCGTCGACGCTTCTTGGCGTGCCAGCTGCTCCAAGAAGGAGACAGAAACCCACTCGGTCCCTCGACAATCGAGTGGTCCGACATCCGACTTGTCCTGAAGTCTCGCTCACAAACGTCGAACGCCAGAGGATGATATAAATGGATGCGAAACCAGCTGCTCATTCAACGAAAGGACAATAGTAAAAGGCGACGAGTTTCACATCTTCATTTGGCCCATCTTGAGCGTCGCTGCCTTTGGTGTTGAAGCAAAGACCATTTCCCTCAACAAAGTCATCCAAAGAAAACCCTCACAACGGCAGGCTCGTACAATGAGCACACGCTCCTGGCGGATGAAAGCAAAACAATGAAAACCTTGTCCAACTTCATCGCGAAAACCTCAACGACAAATCATTTCGAAACTCCACCTATCCCGAGCTCAAGCGGCACCGGTGCATCCTCACGCTTCTCGTAGCAACCAGCAATTTGTGTCTCCTCAAACTCATTTTTTCCGCTGCCTCGCGATGCGCAGCACTATCGATATCCGAAACGCCTCCAGCAGCCTGTTGCGACCCTGTGTGCTGAAATGATGTGGACCTGGGTGCGACACCGCCTTTCCACCAACCGCGACCAATCGAAGCCAGTGCACTACCTAGCAGCGGCTCTTTAATCTCTGCTCCATCTCGCCTCCCAGCTCAATGTCCAACTCCCTATCTCCGTCTAGCCGCCCTGCCATGGGCCGGGCCATCCATGGTAAACTCCTCGTTCCTCTTAATCTTTCTATGCAGGCCCGGATCGATGGTTCCGTGTCGGACTGTGTCAGTTGCTGTTACCCAAGGCGAAGCCATCCTCTCATAGGAGTTTAGTCGTGGCCGCGACGCGCGGGGGAGATTACGTCGGCGCGGCAGAACACTAGAGGGCAGGATCTCGGATATGTTGCGTCGGGGACGAGACACAGTGGGAGTTGGAGTTTGAGGTTCAGGTTCAGCAGAAGGCGAAACTATCCTCTCATAGGAGTTCAGTCGTGGCCGCGACACGCGGGAGGGATTGCGTCGACGCGGTAGGACACTAGTGCGCAGGGCCTCAGGTATGTTGCGTCGGGGGCGAGACGCAGTACGAGGTTGAGGCCGAGGTTGGGGTTGAGGTTGAGGCTCGAGTTCCACAGGTCGTGCCGGGCGGCGCTCTGTTCCAGACAGAGGGCGGGCGTCACGGCGATGTTGCCCTTCGTTCGCTGGTCGAGATGGGCCCGAATCATGTCCGTCTGGCATACCAACGCGCCTGTCGCGACGGACGCGCTTTGCAACAGGTGGATGGATTGCGGGGTCTGGAGCATCAGAGTTCATGCCACGCATGGGCTCGTCCGCACGTGAAGGCATACGCGGAGGCCTGTTGCCTCCATGCTGCAAGTGGTCTCGGGCCGCTGGTGGTGAGAAGCGCAAGCCATGTCTCTCTGTTGCGCCAAGGATCCAGTCGCGACGGACGCGTTTTGCAACTCGTGGATGGCTTGCGGCGGAGTCTGGAGCATCAGAGTCCATACCATGCGCGGGCCTGTCCGCATGTGGAGGAGCATGTGGAGGAATGCGCGGAGGCCTGTTGCCTTGATGCTGCAAGTGGTGTCGGGCCGCTGGTGAGAAGCGCGAGCTGTGTCTCTCTGTTGCGCCAAGGGTACTGTCAGGACGAACTCGCTTTGTACCTTGGGGCTGCTTTGTGGGGACTGGGGCATCAATCTCAATGCTCTGCACAGGCTTGTCCGCATCCGGATGAGGTGGTGCTTGATTGTTTCGAGGACGTTGTGTTCGATTGTATCGAGGATGTTGTGCTCGATTGTTTCGAGGAGTTTGTGCTTGATTGTCTCGAGGATGTTGTGCTTCATAGATTCGACGGTATTGTAGCAGATGCCTAGGGGCGGGGCTGGGAGTAGCATCGTCGTCATCGGTGCTGTCGTCTTCGATGTCTTCGGGATAATGAGTGTTCAGCTCAAGGCGACCAGGCGCACTACTGGTCCTTCCACGCATCCGAGACGGACGTTCGTGCTTGGAGTTGAAAAGGCCCATGTTGGTAGGGGTGGAGATGCAGTAGTCTTGAGCTTTCGGGATGCAGTAGTGTTCAGCTTTCGGGAAAGAGCAACCTGCGGTCGTTTTGAATAGACTATGAAGACGGCCGGCGAATAATACAAAGACTTTCTTTGATTGAAGATCTGCTGTTGGCGGTGTTCAATTTCCGGCCTTCATGGGCGTGGTTGCCTTGTGCTAATTTGAGACACTGCAACCTCTTTGTTTACCAGCGTCCGCAACAAGACAAACCACACGACGTGAAGTCCAGGGGTTCTGCGTCGAAGCGATGACCACTGTCAAACAGACCAAAGTTGTGATGGAGAGTTGATGAAGGATACGATGCACTTCATCAGACCGCTCCGTGAGATGGCCAGCTGTCCAGCTGCATGTACCCATGTCTTGGTGTTTGCTAGCTTTGCATCTCAACGACGTAAAGCAGCAACACTCCCACTACCCACAACCTCAATGCTCTCCCACACCGCTTTCTGCTAAGATATGTAAGTATTATCGGCGCTTTTACTGCTGATTTTGCTAATTCAACTGGCCCTAGGAGCCTCATCTTGCCAATCAGACACACCACGCCGCTCTTGGACGAGACGGTCCCAACCTCCCCCAAAGAGCGCCTGTCTCCCAAACCGACCTTGGACCAGGTCAACACGCCTCCGACTCCTACCGAGCAAACACCCGCCCTCGACTACGTCATGGCTGAGCACATCTCCAAAGTCCCCTTCGTCATGGTTGTGCCTCTCGCCTTCGCATACCGCTATGTCGTTGCCGCATCTCGAGCCGACAGACTCGCCACAGCGTTCCGCAGCCTGGACATGCAGGACATGTTCCCCACACTCTACCTGCTGCACGATGGTGGTATTCGCGGCTTGATCGACTACGACAGTCCCCGGTATATGGCGCTCTACGCCGCCGTGTGTTCACAAGGACTACGACTCTGGAGAGGCACGGTCTTGCTATACTCTCGGGTTGCTTGGCTTCACGAACCAGATGTGGCCGAGGTGCATCATGCACCCGTCCTGGCGTGGCAATACGTCCAGCTGGCGTGTTTCTGGGTTCACGACATGTACTCGTGGTGCGTAGCTGGCGGCGGTTCAGCTCTGTGGCAGACGCTGCCTTTGTCGGGCCGAGTGGGGTGTATCGGCCTTGCTACCTGGTGCATGGTCAACGGAGTGGTGGAGTTTGTCGTGGTGATGATGGTGGTGATGGCAACGACGGAACTAATGAGCTGGTGGCTGTGAGCAGTCACTGATCACCACATATCAGCTTGGTGGAGATATGGATGCTTTGTGAATGATGCTTGGGGTAGCGGACTATGCGAAAATGTACGACTGAACGTAGAGAAGAGGTGGGAAGAAGAGGCGGAGGATCTCTATCAAATTGCCTTCTTCAAGTGGACTGGGACACGTCAGTGTCATACATGATCACTATTGGTAGCGTTACCCGGCTGATGTACGTGCCGGGCAGCCGAATAAGCTGTCGTGGTCTCAAAATAATGGAAGGACCGCTTTCTTCCAACCAACCCTCTGCTTGCATGACATCATTGTGCCTGTTCAAGCGGATGAGTCACAACACACGCCAACCATCCGATTTCCAGGCTATCAATGGAGTGGACCCCAACCTCTACGTAGTTCCCTTGATGGTGCTCACTCCCATAATCATCACCTCGATGATCTACCGCAAGTTAGGCTGTATCGCATGTGCCGTGCCGTACACTATGGGCATTGGTGTAGTCGTGGGTCTCTTTCTCATTTCGCAGACCATCACGTATGCTCCTTTGGAGACTCTTATGCCATTTCGATGTCCTGATATGAAACTGCACGATCCGCTGGAACTACACCGAATTACATGCGTTCAACAGGGAGCGCGTCTTGCTTGCAGATCAGTTCTTCCGTCGACACATACAGCATACCCATCGAGCGAGTGTGCGCTCGCAAACATGGGCAATGTACAAGACTGCGGTGATGCTTTCAAAGCCACGCATCCAGAATATCTCCGATGCCATGTGCAGGGCGAACACGAAGGACAAGGAAAATCCGCAAGAGGCCGCCCAGGAGCAGTGGTATATAGCCGAGGACAGCAACGGCGGCTTTGATGTAGTGGACAGGTCAACGGACTGGGACGGCAAGACCACAGAGAGCAGATCGACCTGGGACATGCTGATCTTGCTCGGCCAGGTGTATCGACGGCCGTCCCAACCACAGATGCTCGGTCAATGACTCTTCCTCCTTCTGCACCTCCATGACTGATGCATGTAGCTTTTGACCTCTCCTCACTATAGGTTCCAACTTCACAAGTACCCGCCTCTGGCGCTCTTCCTCGTTGGTCGTCAGGGCTAACACTACAAACCTCTGGCGATATCAGAGAGCACACAGGGCGACCGCGATAGCATAAGCTTACCTTACTTGTAAGTGTGCCGCATTCTTTCTTGCTCCCGTACTCGCTCCTCGGATGAAAGTGATGCTGCGACGAGTACTTCGCCAAGAAGAGCTACTAGAGCGGGTAAGCATTCTCTCCTCCACGCGTGGAGTAATTTTCTAGAACGCACTGCCTGCCAGTTCGAATATCCAGGTATCGCCTACGCCGGCTATGAGATGGCCGCGTGACAAGGTCTTGTTGCCACGTGCCTATGTATTCGTCATCTCGCTCCAGCCGCGTATCTCTTTTGACTTGCGGATGCCCATGCTTGGGCTCGTTCGCGTCTTGCTTCGGCATGTCAGACTCGTAGAACTGGCGCACGCCATGGCCCGGCCACAACGTACAAGCTGCATCACAATTCAAACCGCCCTGGGCCCAAAGACGTTGCGCGTTGCGTCGTTGTACCACTCAATCGCGAAGGTATCCTTCGCTCTCTGGCATTCAACAGCAGTCTGGTGTCTTACTTCTTTCGCCAGTCTACCATAGCTCTTCGACTAAACACTAATTGGCGAGCATGTTATGGAGGCTCTTACTGGGATTTGAAGGATCAAAGGCGTGGTGCGATTGGTATATATTCTCGTCGACCTTGTCCTCTGTGCGTCAAAATCAAGTGGACAGCAGCGACGCAGGTCCATACAGCGCTGGAGGCCGTTGTCATGTCCAACAAGGGATTTGTGTTTCTGTATGTCTTCAGGGCTACTTGCCTTCCACGGCTGCCAAGCTCATGTTCGGTGGATGCTGAAGTTCTCCATCGGCTGCGGCTGCGTCCCTGGCCGCGACTCACAAGATGTAATCATGAAATTGGTTTGTTTCTGAAAGTCATGCGCGGTCGGAGTCGACTTATTGGCCTTTAAGACTGCCTGTGTAACTGCTGCTACGCCACAAAGACACACTTCGAAGCCACACTGGGCACACCGTCTTCAAGAGCGTCGCGCCCCTCGGCATCTTTTCATTCACCACGCGATTGGCCACAATGAGCACACAAAGCGCAACTGTTGAAGTCCCGTACGACATCTGGAGGCAGCCCGATGCTTTCAAAGCCCTGTCGCCTACAGCCGCCATCACGCAACTCATCGGCCTCAACGATGGCGTCCACAAGCGCAACCAACTCATAATAGTAACCCTCTACGAGAGAACAGATCGTCTCGAAGACGTGGGATGCGCGAAAGCTGAGCTGGATACAATGATCTGAAGAAAGAGATGGAAGAAACGATGGGCAAACACAAGCACCAGCTACACATGCTTCGCGATGCTGTGCCCTGGAGGAGTGGCCAGAGCATTTGCAGCATATCTTTATTGGCGTCCCGGGAGACTTGCAAACCACCGCGGTGAAGCACTAGCTGGACGAACAGGAAAAGGAATACGAAAGAGTCTCCCGACTTTTCAGCGAGTGCATTGTTGAGGGGTTGCAAGACGTCAAGGGACATGTGAGCAAGATACAGTGAGCTCGAGCGCATGAAGCGGATTGACGAAAGCAAAGACGTGAAGATTGGCAAACTCAATGCTGTTGTCTGAGAGAGGAACAGGCTGTGAAAGGACTAGAAGACAAAGCCAGGAAACAAATCAGGCGGATAGGATCAAGGACATGCGAATTGAAGGACTTCACGCTGCAAACTGAGAGAAAGAAGGACTGCAAGGCAAAGTTGATGAAGCTGAACAGGAGACGGAATTCAAGAACGGGCCCGACTGACGTACGTGTCGGTATGCTCGAAGTCGCGCCACTAGGTCACGAGAGGCCCGTCTTCTGTAACGACTTGGACGAGGCAAGGGGGTACGTCGTAGTTGGGGATCAATGAAGCTGCACTCTACTGGACTTGTTCACGACGTGCTATATCTCCTGTGGCAGCACGGAATCCGGTTGCGCCGGGTCGGGGTTCGCGCAGAATTGCACTCCCGTTCGCGCTGGTTAGCCTTGTCGTGCTGGATGCGCCTCGCAGACTGGACCGCAAGGCCCAGCTGTGCCTTGCTGGCAGTCTGTTCGAACGGGCGACGCTGCACCGTCCGCGTTCGCTGCGTGTCGAGGTGGTACACCTGGCCATGATGCCTTTGCGCCTCCTGTCTCGCCCCATCAGCGTGATTGCGTGTAGCAGTAGCCGAGTTCCTGCGCGTGCTTTTGGTGAGCTTCACGCTGCTCGCACATGTACTCTCCCCGCGCACTATGCACGGCCTCAGCCTGCCGGAAGCGCTCTTGCGCCTCTGTCTCGATTGCTGCAAGCATCGTTGGTCAGCCTTGACCTGCTGAACCATGGCGCGCACATCCCGCGCACTGCATGTATGTCCCAAGTCTGGCGCTCTAGGAGGCGCTGTACAATGCAGCCACTGCGTGACACATGTCAGTGCAGCTCTGCGGCGGTGGCGGCACCAGCGCGGGCGCTTAGGTCGGTGGAGAAGCAGGCCAACTCGGCCATGGCCTGGAGCACGTTATTTTGGTCGAGTACTTCTGTTGTACCCGCTCGAGTCTGTTCGTATGGCGGATCTGCTGGCCGATGGGGCTGGGCCAATCGGACCAAATCATGGCCGCGGGAGTTTGGGCGAAAGTTGTCGAGCAGGGCGGACAAGTTGGACTGGGACTGGGAGCTCAGCGCGCTACAACGACCAGAAGCGGCGTGATTGCGGGCGTGGCTGAGGGGTCTGTGAGGCTGATGAGGCGCCTGGGGATTGAGGAGCCGGCGGTTGGGGCCGTGGTCGAGTCCGTAGGGGCTGTGGGGGCTGTGGGGGCTGTGGGGGCTGTGGGGGCTGTGGGGGCGGTTGGTGGCGGACATGTGCCGCGAAGGCGCGTGAGGCAGTGAAGCGAAGGGCCTGGTGTGATGCTTCCACTGCGACTGCGCGGTCTCGAGCGCCCAATATCCCTGCCCATCGATTGACTATCCTCTGCCCAAGGCACTTTCTTCTTCATGTATGTTTCATTTGACGTTACAAGGCTCTGGATTGACCATTCCCCTGTGCATGCGCCTTCAATCTCAACCTCGGCAGGCGTCACCGCGCATTGATCGGTGGCAGCAACGGGGTTGGCGGCTTCCATTGGGGCTCCTTGCACCATCCGTGTTAAGGGCACGAAACACTAATTCCTCGAGTCTATTGGTACCAAGATCACGCACGCTTGAGAGAGTTTGAACCTTCGCTAGGACTGACCGCCTCCAAGTCGGTCGTCACTGCAAGAAATCACCAAGTTGGTGACTGTGCTCATCCATCGTTGCCCCTTGCGCCCAGCTCCTCCATGGTCCATCTCACCTAATTCGATTTGGATCAGGACTGACTGCCCAAACCATCAGCACTTTTATCTACTGCAAATGCCTCGTGATGAGTTTTCATATCTAAGCGAGCAAGCACAACATTCGTTCGTTAGCTAAGTAACTCTTTGATTCTGGCACTGCCTCTCGGCATGTCTGCAACATCGCCCGCCTCAATCATCGAGACATGTGGCGCGACCAACGGCCAACTACTGCATCTTCATCGTCACACTTCCCGACATCAGCATACTGCGCTCACACCGCTGTCATTGAGTGTAAGGATCATTTCGAAAAGTCCCAGCATCAAGGCCACAAGTTTCTACCACTCCACTTCTTGCTCTGAGCAGACCTTATCAAGTACTCGATAGCTCGCTGTTCTATCCAAACCGTCTGCCAATCAGTATCACTACCTTCTATGATTTTTCGAGGCACACACAGCTGTCGTGTGTACTCACATCGAGTGCCGTCCCCTCCTAGCCTCTAACCCCAATGACCTACAGCAGACAAACCTGTCGATGCCGACTACTCGTATATCGTTCAAAACAGCTTGTCGTAAAACCAATCAAGGGCTCCTTACTGGTCCTTCCCACCTTGGGCTCCTCACAAGTAGCGTCCATACCGATCTCCCATGGTACGCGGGCTGTGTCTGATGTGGGCTGAGCTGCTTCAGTCAGCGAGAAAGCGCGCGCACCGTAGAAAGGAGTGCGTAATGTGGAATAACAGTATACACTACAGGTACTTTCAAACTAGATCTGGAGAAATACAGATGATGGTGCCGCTGCAACGTTCCCACGGTGCGAAGGGGGCTCAGTCTGCTCTGTGAGAAGTACCCTGTCATCCATTCATCGCTGTCTCTTTCTGCTGGGTCTCATACTGTATCTGATATCGTTTCCTCGAATTTTTAGGAGTGAGGATACAGAGGAACGAAGGGCATTGACTGCGGGTTCAGGTCCGGCTTTCCGCATGACGCTGGGAGGCTGTGATGTGTGTCAACGCAATTGCCAGAACAGGCTCGTTGCGCCCACCCAGCTCAACCAACGAGTAAGAGAAATGCAGTACTGTTAATCTCGTCAAACCTCCGACGCTCCGCTATCGTTACTCTTCCCAATAAGTGCGATATTCGTAATGGAAGCTCTTCTATTGAGCTTATCCAGATATCGGCTCACATGATCGCCATACTGCGACGAGTTCTTCAAAAGACCCACTAATTACAGAGGACGTGTCTGCAAAGTGCTGAATGTGTATCATAGATATTCTAGTGTCCACGCCCATAGCTCACACTAAACAACGATTTCATGCAGCAATGGGATTAGCGAGCGTCGTCAGTGCAGACACATTTTGTCAAGATCGTCATGGAACTCAGTTTATCACCTCCATTTAGTTGCTACCAAGCCGCGAAGCACAGTAATCGGATGCAGGGCCAAACACAAAAGCATTCGCAACAATGAGGTAATCAAAGAAATACATCCACTTCCATATCAATCTGTGTAAAAGACTAGAAACCTTCAAAAGCTCTTGAAGACTCAAACTCCTGCCCATTGCATAGCCGTCCTGCTCATCGCGCCCTGCCAAACGCTCCACCAGGCGATCCTACGCGTCAGGATCAACGCCGAGCTGTCCCGCCCCCGTCTCCTTCCCCTTCTTCTTAGCCCTACGACGAGTGCGACGGCCATTTGCCGCTGGCTCAGGCGCAGGTGCCGACGTGGGAGAAGCAGCTGCCGTGATCCGCTTCGAGCGTGGCGTGCTGCGTGATGTCGACGGGGATGAAGGATCGTGCTTTGCCGTGGCGGCCGGCTTGCTTTTTTTCGAATGTTTCTTCTCGCCTGTACGCATGTTAATTTTACCGTTGATCAGCGCGAGATGGAGCAGGGGCTGACTCACTACGCTTGTCGTGCTGAGGGAGGTGTGCAGGTATGGATGTTGCATCGGGGTCGTCCTTTTTCGCTAATGGTTTGCTAGCGCTAGGAACTTGTGTGGACGTTTTTCCTCTGCCGCCTTTTTTGCGTGGCTGTCGCGCAACAGTGGGTGTTTGTTGCTTGTCCTTGCCGTGCATATCCGACGAGGATGTCGGGCCTGAAGTGTCGTGATTGTGGGCTGATTCCTCAGCGACGACGTCGCCGTCACCTAGTTCGAGCGTTATTTCAGCGTTTTGTCTCCCCTCTCCATCAAGTGTTCTCAAGACATGTTTTTGGCGGCCATTATCCTCCGAAGCTATCAGAGTTCTCTCGATCAGGCTACTAATGCTCGCGCGGACAGGTTCCATAGCTTTGTCAGAAATACTCATAGGACTCAGACTCCTAGGAACGGACCGAGGATGGTCGGGGCTATGAGGAGACGGAAGGCCGGTCTGACCAGGCTTCAAAGATGAGGGGCTTGTAACCAGGTGCATGGAAGAGCCAGAGCTGCTGCCCACAGGCTGTATGGTTCCGTCCAACTTTCTGGCACGATGCTGTAGCTCTGCCTCGTGTCTCTCGAGTGCACTCTGATATCCTGGTATCTCGATGGTCTTGTTCTTGCCCTCCCATGTTTGCCTTGAGCTGCTGGCCGCAGGCCTGGTGTGCTCGCCTGCGACCTCATCATCATGACCTGGCTTGGAGCCTTCGCTATCATACGTTCGTGTCAGGCGGATTGGTGGCTCGCTATAGAAGCGTACGCTTGCTCGTGGGTCGACGAAAGGAGGGTATTTGCGCGCAACCTGCACGAGTTTAGCACATTTTGAAGTCGTTTGCGAGGAGAACAGAGAGAAGCTCACCCAGGCTTTCAATCCGTTCCTCATTCCCATCAGCCACTGGGTGATTGTGTCCATGAAAGCGACTACTAGGGCTATGACGAAAGGTGGTGGGTTGGTCTGTCTTGCGGGCGTGGGACCACTCCAGAGATCCTGATAACCCTATCACATATGTCAATGAGGCAAAAGCGACAGAGAAGAAGCGACAGACGGTGATACTATCTTGACGCTCTCGCATGGGGTGACGTTCGGCTCCAAAGCGTGCGAGGTTAGCGGAAACGCGATGTCCCTACACGATTTGTCAATGATATCATGAATAGGGTGAACCTAACTTACTCGCACAGAATCATCAGAACCTCTCACGGTCATGTCACTAGTTCTCAAAGGGTCTGAACTCGCTTCCACTGAACGCTCAAGACGTGCAGCCCATGCACGTGCTGAAGGCTCCATAGCGGGCGATGACGCTGTTTTCGGACTTTGTGTGACTCAGCTAGAGAAAAGTTGTACCTGAGAAGTGTTCATGAGTAGAGGAAGAGGGAGTGCGAAATTGTTTGCATGTCAATACGCCTGAGCACGTGCCTGCGCGATGGTGGTACATGAAGCTAGCGCTCCAAGCATCTGGTGGTACAAGAACGTCAAGATTCCAAGCATCTTAGCGGAGGAATTTTCTCAGAAAGTGTAGATGCCTTTTCTTCTTGCAATATCATCTATTCTCACTTCGCTTTCGTCGTACTTGCCCAGGCGACTTATTGCGCCTTTCATGGATACGTCTTTCAATGCCCTGCGCCACGAAGAGCTCACTTAGCTTGCTTCAAATGGCATATTCTGAAAATATCTCCCAATGCATTCGCCTCTGCGACATTGAGAAACGGAATTCGGCTGTGCTTTGTTTCGGGATCGACTACTATGCTCAAGTGGGATGCATTCTGATAGAGGCCGCTCCATAAACCGACTGTAGCGGATCCCCTGCATTTGCGAGTCGAAGTTGGTGATCTTCCTTCGAACACGATACACATGTATCCCGTGAAGAAGACCATGTTCTGTCCTGCTATTGCTTCGCGAGATTTATCATCGCCGTACCAGGGAAACTGCTCTCCGGTTACTTGGCCGCCTGCTCTTCTAACAACACAGCTCATAATCCTGCGTAGACATTCCTTGATCACGTCATCACCACTTGTTGCCAAGAAACAATGCCCGTTACATGTACCCACATGCGTCCGGTACACGCGCTTGCTATTTCACCATGAGGTAGTCTCGGACGTGCGGCGTCGCAGCTACGATGATAACGACGCAGATCCAGTTGCTGAGGGTGATGAGGAATCCAGATCGCAGTCAGAAGCATCGCGACGCGATCTCGTGTAGTGCATGAGGGCGTCATCTTCATCCTCCGAGCTTCTGCCATGTTGCTGCAGTTCAGCTTCCTCCGCTCCTGCTGTCGTTGTAATCGCTTGGTGACATGGGAGATGCCAGGTCCAGAAGCAGGGTCTCGAACGGCCTTCAAAGGTGGAGATATGGCTGTTCCCCGACTCTCGGTCGTTATGGGCGCAGCGCAGCGGATAGTATGGTCGCGCCTTCGATCGAGGCTCTACTGCATATACAGAAAGCTCAACGTGAGTGGCGAATTTTACAGTATTCATGGCGACTTCCTTGGCTTATCAGCGTGAAAATATTGCTTTGGGAAGGTGAGGGAAAGACCATCCATTTTAGAGAGGACGAGATACATCGACATGTATGATACTAGCCTGCGTCAGCGGCGCCGTTTACGTGAAGATTGCCTCGTCGATTCACGATGATGTCGTATGTGGTCTGCGCCTTACCGCGTTGTGCTGACTGTGCGCCTAGCGACACCACCACCACGACAACAACACACGCGCAATGCTGGCAAGCATGACGCGCATCGAGTTCCCGTTTGCGCATGCAGATCCTGATGCTCTCTGTTCACTCCTCATGTTGAGAAGCCTTCCCGCGTTGTTCGCAGACACAAAAAAGCCCGTAGACACCCCCTTGGCATTCGATCGCTCATTTCCGAGTACAGGTTACAAGCAAGTGCCCGCGTTTACATCCAAGCTCTTGATGAAACAAACCAAGAGATCCTCACGATTCCCACCTCGCTCCCTTCGATCCGCTCCCTTGTTGGCAAAGCCATGCGCGAAGTCTCTGACCTCACCATCCTCGGCATTTCCGAGGCCGCGCCTACAGGATCCGCCGTCTATACAATTAGCTCCGTAGCCGCAGTATTCTTCGATATCAAGGGCCATGTCGACATCGATGTCGAGATTTCGCGCGCCATGGCTAAGCTGCAGAAGGCAATGGGGGCCGTCAACCACCAGAAGGTCATGGCTGTTCCAGACTACCAGGACAAGGTGAGCGGTGCTGTCAAGGAAGGTGACAAGGAGAAGCTTCGGGTGGCAGAGACGGAAGTTGGCAACCTTCAGTACAGTATCGAACAGTTCGAACAGTTGAACTATAGTTTGGGGATTTTGTGGTGATGCAGTTCCAGCCTATAGTTAGGGTACCAATGCCTTTGCACCACTATTCGACAGTGGTATTGTAGACTCAAGAAAATGAAGTATAAGCGATTTAAACAAAGATTGAGTCTACAAACACCTGTTCTGACTTGCAACCGGAGGCAGGGGATCGCTCTGCGGCTTGTTTGCCGCAATCACTCTTAAGCGGCTAGGCCACCGAGTCTAGACCCTAGAATGTTCGTCCACGCCCACGCTGTCTGCCGGGGGCACCGGCATCGTTTGCGGCGCAGGTATGAAGGCTTTTTCGACAATGCCGGTGCTGGGGTGGACTGAGTGTCGTGAACACGCAGCGTGTGCACATCAACGCGGATAGTGAAGTAATGCACACCGAAGAGGTTGCAGGAGGCTACAAGCTGGAGCGTGCTGTACTCTAGACTCCGGCACTTGTTCGACAGGAGTCCTAGTAAGGTATCTTCAACGAGTCGTGCCATGCTGTTATGGCTGTAAAGTCATCGTGTTCGAGAAGACGGAGCACAATGAGATTGCAGTCCTGTTTGTCAACGACTAGGGCGCGCACAACGGCGCGCGCAGACCTCTTGCTTGGAACTGATGGCGCAAACTCTACCATTTGGCATCTACTTCAATACGCGGGATATGTAGCATGGCGCGGTACGGTGGCTGAGCTGCTGTCTCTCTGATATCGCGCGGTTATGCAGAGACACGTTGTGCTTCTTCTCCGCAAAGGGTGTGCAGCTGATTGTGTCCACGATTCCTGGCGAGGTGGTTACGCAGACCTGTCGCCTCAATTAGGTGTGGTACTTGAATGGTAAAGAAGACTCTACACTCTCGTACGCCTATCGATAGTGCAGTTTGGCAGGATCGGAAGGAGGTGGCAGCGCGAACGCTTCCGCCTTAGTTTGCTGAGCTTGTTCAGCTGGCGTCAACCGCATTATGGATGTCATGAGCCCGTAGAGTATCTTTCTTAACGGCAAGGTCATTTAATTAGCGACGCAGTCGCTGGCCTGCGTCCTCGCACCAGTTTGAGCACGAACTAGGCCGCTTCCATATGTTAAAGATGGAAGACTATTTGCGCAGCATCAATCTCAAAGCGTTGAACAAGGCATCTTAGAGTATTCGTCAAACATGTGTGAAGTAGGGAGATATTCGGCAACGATAGTTTTAAGAGTAGTGGCGGCAGCAGCAGTCTCCAATTATGCCAGCGTCATTCTCTAGAGAGTATTTAAATCTCTCGCTCTATTTACAATTTACATCAATGTCCTGCAACGCTTACTGCAGCCGCTCGAGCACGTACTTTCCCGCGGTAATTGGCAGATACTTGGCCGGCTTCTCATCCGAGACACAGCGAGATATGGCCTCACGGTAGCATTCTAGTTGATTGAGAAGAAGGATATGCTTACCCTTTCACGTGAAGAGTTCAAGACACGCTATACAGTACTTTTAAACAGTCCGTTTGTAATTCTCACTAGCCTCTTCGTCGCGAGAATTCTGAATGTCAAGGTATCTGGGTACAAACTCATAAAGTCGCTAATATTGACTACCAAAACCCTTTCTATCAGAATGGCATCGACCTACTTCCCGTCTGGCGGCAGTACTTGAAGCCAGAGCTTCGATTGTAACAACACTATAAAGCATTCAAAGTCCGTGTGCGGTCGTTTTCCGACGTGCTTGCTCTGTCTCTGTATTCCATGTATGGCTTTGTGCAGCGTAGTACAGTCGCGCGATGCCGCCAGAATGAGTTGCCATGTCATCAAAGTATTAGAGGAAAAGGCGAATAGCTGGAGATGACGAGAGAGTTGCAAAACCTGTCGTAGTATTCTTTGATACGCTAAGAAAGTCCTGGCAAGTCCTCCTCTCTCGGCTACATATCACACTGCCCCGTCTGCCATCCAGCTCTGAATACTTTCCATCTCCACCCGTTGCGTCTAGCTCTTCTTGATAGCCCCAATTCTGTTATCTCGTGCGGCCCAGCATCTCAGTCTCACTCAGCTCCGCCCACGGAACAGGCGCAACTTTTCGTATTGAGCTCCTCTTTATCACATGGAGTTCTTTGAAAAGCGTTTGCCAGACACACCGTGGTTGCAGATGTAGAAGAAGCCAGTCTTACGCCACTGCTTAACGGTCCTCTGCATACTTGGAAAAGGAGCGACCATAGAATGTATCGTCTGAGAGAATGTGCTCTCCAGTAAGAAGTTCTGGAAGATGGCGCTGCGCTGAACGGACTTCCTTTGACGAAAAGCGGAATGGAAAGTTGCATGCATATAGTGTGCTCCAATATACTGGCATAAGCCTACGGCGTAGGCGCAGGACTAGCGTCCCTCTTTACCATTGCAAGTTTTCATTTCTGCCTTGGATCTATTCTCATTTGCGACTGTTAGCTGGTCAGATTACAGCCGATAGCCTGCCAAAGACAGGAGTAATGTGCGAGGGGGCGTTAGATGTGAGTTCTTGGTCACTTTGCTATGAATAACTACAAATGCTTCTTACCTACATGTATGAGATCTGTGGGTATTGCCCAGCAAGCCTAGCTGTCGTCCGTCTTTCTGAACTCCACCATTACCCCATGCAGAATACTAGAAAAGTACCTTTTGTTGGTACTCCTTCTTGAGACTTCTCAGAAAACGCTCGCCTTGATACCTTTACCAACCCTAGCCGAATTCATATCAGCATGTATTCGCATGATATATGAAAGGACTGATGTAGCGAGACTGATTGACAACTGCATTATAGCTGCTGTTGTACCAACGCAGCCTCTAGGAAATCGAGAAGGGCGCCTACGCAGACTGCGCGAGCTCTATAGCAGCTACGGAAATACGACGCCTAAGTCGGTACTAGTATGACTGTGGGTAATAGTCGGCCTGATGGTAGATACTGTAGATCACGGCATCGACACTAGCAGGAATGTGATGTCCGTGACTATCCCCCAAGGACCTCGCGCCATAGAGCTCCTCCATTCACGGGATTCATTCGCATAGCTTCTTGGACATGCGCGCAGATACACACAGCTATTGAGCCTGGGCCAAGGAACAATTTCGTTCACGCTCGTGAACGTCGAGCGTACTTGCAAGCAGAGCTTGCTGTAGACTTCCGCGTTTTGTGCAAGGTGGAAGAATGCAGAGGCGAGAGATGTAGATGTTGCGTCAGGTCCTAAAGCCGTATTGGAATTATTCGAGTAGGAAAACTATCAAGTTGATTTACCCTACCTTAGTTGCAAAGTCAGCGATCAAAAAGGGGGATCATCAGTACTCGTGTACAACTCTACAGGGTAAGCGTCCGCTGCGCTCAGCTTATACATCTATACTTCTCTTTTTAAACTTAGTGCTTAAAGGACCCGGCGGGTCCCTTCCCGCTCCGTCCGGATCCTCTTGACTTAAGCCAACAAGGTATCTACAGAACTTCATAGTCGCACTATCATTCTGCGAACCCTGCGTCTTTCTACCAATCCCTATGCGAGCCCATCCATGCACCCTTTATCAATGTATAGGACAGTGCTGTGCAGGCGTCGCTACAATAGCTGCTGTGAATCAGAGTCCTGAATCACTGTATTTTGTTCTGACACGCTAGAGGTACTGCTGCCTTTGGCAATCAACGCTATAACACAGGCTGGCAACAGTCTTATTCGTTGGGAGTGTATTTATAGACGGAATAGAAATGTTTGTTGTATTAACCTCTTCGCTCTTGTTGTTATATAGGCAACTATCTCAACTTCATAACTACTCGCAATAATCAAAGTCAAGGTTCGTGAAGCATACGCAGCAGATATTCCCACACTTGCTTGAATAAGCGCCGAAAGTTTCTGAGGAGAGCCTATTTACGATCACTTCTTTCTACTTCGTGACATCTATGACTACGACTATCGCCATTTCTTCCTCTACAATCTCAAGAGACTGCTCTATATACCGGGCCAAATCATCGTGGTAGCAGAGCTAGAAGATACTCCTGAAGCAACTGCAGCTCCTCTTCTTTTAAAGAAGGTGCTGCCTAGAGTTGTAGGATATGCTACTTTCATACATACTGGTAGCAAAGAGGAACGGGCAACATGGAACCTAGACTTATAGTGCAAAAGTGAGTGCATTTGTTTTTGCTTCGCACTTTTTGATACTTCACGCTATCTTACTGCGAGTACAGAGAGATGGGTTTCCCGACGCTAGCTGTAGATCCAGACTATCAGCGCCAGGGTATCGGGGACAAATTGATTAAGTGGTGTGGCATTCGGGCTTGGACTGAAGACGTCCAGGTCTTTAGGGATAGCTCAGAGAAGGGCCTGCATTATATCTGCGTAATAGTTGTGAGGGTATTAGGAGTATGAATCTGCCGAGACAGTTTGCACACGAGGGCAAGGAGTTTGAGGAACTGAATGTGGTAGTGTTGAGGTGGCAGGCTTAGAAGCTTTGCACGTGGTGGAATTTCTAGGCATTGTTCAAGTATCGTGCAGCTTATTAATTTACCAGTACCTACTGCAAGTCCGCTCTTACAGCATGTTAGCCATTTGAGTAAAGTTTCGTAAGTTCTCTCTTCTATCTATTTGTTCTGATTAATGAAGGATCACCAGCAGATGGCGAATTATAACCTCGAATGCTATATGAAATACGCTACCCTCTATTGCTACGATTGAGGCTCGAAGCATCAAAAGCATGTACATAGCTGCGGGCACTGTTGATTACAACCGCACCCAGATCTTCGACACTCATGTCCTTACCCACGGGAAAGCGAAGGAAAGGGTCTATATCCTAAGCTATCGAGGAAGCTAAAGAAACTTAAGTAGTCGACGTATGCAGAAGAAGCCTGCCCTCGAGAAGGGCATTAAAAACCTGATGCGAATTATAGATCAGAGCCTTACTAAGGCCGCCACATACCTCTGCAGAGTTGACGAGCCGACCTACAATCGCATGAGATATGTTTTGGCTGACGGTAGGAACGGTCCTGAGGTTGGGGTGCGAGGCTGCGTAGGCGCCTTTTATCTGCTTGAGGAGCGTAGTCTTGCCGGCATTGTCGAGGCCTAGGAGGAAGACAGAGCACTCTGCGGTTTATTAGCATTAGTACTTAACGTACACAGGAACTAGGGAGCGTACCTTACTTACTTGTCGCATAGAGATTCATCGACTTGAAGAGGTGATACGTGGCTTGCGCGACGCGTTATGTCGACGCGCGCTTCACATAGCCGGCGAGTAAGGGTCTACGGCGCGCAGTTAATAGGGAATGTGTCACACTGTTGCTATCGATAAGCCCCAGCAGATATATTCTGGAACTTAGCCTTCGTCATCTCATCTACGACCTGTCTCTCACTACTTACTACAACATTTGCAAGGGCGAGCAATGCAGTGTAAGTATTCGGAATGCTTAATAGATATATGCATGCTAATGATTACAGGAACCCATAGGCGAGCTAAGCAGTGAACCCAAGCTTAACTGAAAAGAAAGCTCCGTCTTTTGACCTCCAAGCAGCAGTTATTGTGTCTACGCTATCCGCAGCCTGGCCTATCGCTGACACCAACCTCGCCGAACAGCTTCTAGATCTGATTCAGCAAGCAACTTACTACCACCAATTCTCTAAAGGCGCCAATGAAGCAACTAGAACGTTGAACTGAGGCACCTCTAAGCTCATCATCATAGCTAGCGATGCCGAGCCCCTTGCCTTTACACTTTATCTCTCACTCTTATGTGAAGACAAGAACGCACCTTTCGTCTATATGCCCAGTAAAATGGCGCTAGGACGGGCGTGAGGCGTCGGCCGCTCGATTATAGCGGTCAGCCTCACTAGCAACGAGGCAAGCGATGTGACGGGACAGATCAGGGCTATGAATAATGCAGTTGAGAGGATTGCAGTTTTAAGGAAGGGCGAGTCTAGAAATGGCTTAGCTCTGAGTCACTGAGTCCTGGTACTAGTCTGAGATGGACAACAAGGTGTGCGCGGCACAAGATGCATAGTAGCACCAGAATACACTCTTTAAACACAAAAATGCTAACCTTTTCTCTGGATATAGATAAGCATTTGCATAGCAGTGATGTTGTTTTATAAGCTTACTCTGTCTTGCACTTCTCTGCTATGCTGTGCGTTAATGTCAGCACTGTATTTTATGTTAGAGCAAAGGACGTGGTAGGATAGCACGCTATAAAAGCTATAGGATCTCCTATAAGGAACAGACAAAACAGGGGCTCTGCCGTCTATATTAATACAAAACTAGGAATTAGGAAGATACTAAGGCAACGTAGACTTCTAGTAAGGTGCTTAACTTTTCTCTGTTAGCTCTTAACTACTTTGTAGCTCTTAGAGTTCTTTTCGATTAGCTACATCTAGTTTCTATGCTTAGGATTATTAATTATTACGTTCTAATTAGTATCTAGTCTTTTAGATAGCTTACTGCTAGTTAGATTATTAAAAAAGTCTTCTTAACGCTATAAGAGATCTAGAATAGTAGGTATATAGAATAATATCTTTCTTTATAAACCTAGGTTTCTATATAATAGTACTACTCTATCTTAAAAAATTTTAAGAGCATCTTAAGAGATTTTACTATTCTTATCTAGAAGTATTAAGCTAGCGCTATATCTAAGCAGAACTTAAATAAGTAATTTAACTTTCTGCCTATTAGATTACTAGTGCTGTAAACGTAATATAATATATTAGAAGTAACTCTAGCTTTAGTATATGCAGCTAATAGTATTAAGAGCATAATAATACCTGCCTAGCTTAAGAAGCGTCTATATGCCTGCACTAAATCTAACTTTATATTATATTTCTTTAACTCTTCTACTTAGGTATCTATTAGCTCTATCTTAGATAGATCTTAGATTATATAAGAACTAGTATATATTCTCTCTATAATTAACCTCTAAGTTTCTTAAGAATTTATCTTACTTTAATACTACTTAGTATACTTATCTTATAGCTTCTATCTATATACTTCTTATAATTTAAATTCTTTCTACTCTTTTATAAGAAGATAATTATTAACTAGAATTACTTTAAGCTTTTTATTAGTAAGAATAGTATTAACTTATAATACTCTATAAGATAAATATAAAAGTACTACTTATAATAAGCTTAAAGCTATAGTAATAGATACTTAAAGAGCATTACTAGAAGTAATCTAGTAAGAGTAGCTATAGTAGCTCTCTAACCTTTCTAATATAGAGAGAGTTAAGAAACTTAATAATAAAAGTATTAAAAACTATATAACTAGTAATATTATAGTAGAGCAATGTGTATTAGCGTAGAGCTTAAGCCTAATAGAATATTAGATAAAGTATAGAGGTAGAAGAAAGTAGTTTAGAGATTAATAACTTAATTAACTACTTTTATATTAAGTATAACTTACTATAATAAAATAGTAACTAACTATGTAACTTAAACTCTATATCTTAGTTCTTAGAAAAGCTAAGAGTAAGTAAGTATAGCTAAGTAAGAAATCTAGCTCTAATAATATATTAGATAATAAGAATAGAAATAAGAATATAAATAGAGATTAGAAGTAAGAATATAAATAGATAATAGAAGCAAAAATAAGAATAGATAATTATTAGGATAATATTAGAGGTTATAGCTAGAAATAAGTAAAAGTAAGAATAACTAATAGAATTATTATAAAGAATAGATAAACTGCTACTTTTAAGAAGTAATTCTCTCTCTACTCTATATACTAGCTCTTTAGTAGCTATACTAGGCTTGCTTAGAACGCTAAAGGCACTCTCTATACTAGAGTACTAATATTATCTTCTCTCTTAGATATACTTACTTTAGGTAAATATATCTAATATAGAGAAGTATTTAATAAGCTTAAATAAGCTATAATAGCTTATTTAAAGTCTAAAGCACATATTAGAGCTCTATAGATTATTACTAAAATTTATAGCTTTAAGAGACTTACTTAGCTAAGCTTAGTATACTAAGTAATAATAAGTAAATAGTATATAGATCTATAATACTAGTTAAGCTTAGCCTAACTCTTAACCTAGTTCTATATTCTCTTAGTCTCTTTTAAATAAGAATTTTTAGTTTTTTCTATAAGAATTTTAACCTTTATTTAGGCTAGAATACTCTATTATAGCTTATTATAGCGCTAATAAATATAGAGTACTCTATAATAACTACTATATCTCTTAATCTAGCTTTATTAAGTCTCTTTACTTCTATTCTATACTAATCTAAGCTAGAATATCTCTAAATCTATTAGAATAGACTAAATTGCTATTAGTAATAGTATAATAGAGAATAGTATATATATTTATTATCTATACTACTACTATATTATATCTTTTGCTATAAGCTTCTTTAAGTATCTTAGTAAGTTTAGTTATATTATAATAAACTTCTCTAATACTATAGAGAATACTAAGAACTATCTTAATCTCTACTTATCTTAGTAGAAGAAGATTAAGGATAAAGAGACTACTTAATACTTTAAGTACCTCTATTACTTTTTTAGTAACTTTAACTATATAGTAGTAAGTTATTATAAGCTAGAATACTTTATTATAGCATAAACTAATATATTTAGCTTTCTAAGAAGTTATATTAGAAAGTTCTAGATATTATTACTAATATTAATAAGCTAGCGCTAGGTTAGATTAATATTTGCTACTAAACTATTATTACTACTTCTACTATCTCTACTACTAGAGACTAGCTAGTAAGAGCTGTAGTAGCTACTTAGTATACCTATAATCTATAGCCTCTAGATGCTAAAGAGATTTTAGTACTTAAAGTTAATATTTAAAATGCTTATAGTTCTTTAGCTATATAGTTAAAGAAGTAAATACTTTATATAGTTCTATATAAGCTATAATACTCTATTATAAGCTATTTAGATACTAACTATATTCTAAGCTCTTATATATACTTTATATAGAGAACTTAATATACTATAATAGCACTTTAGACTCTAATAATAGTTCTAATGCTACTTATATATTTATTTACTATAATTACTTTACTAAAGCTATTATTACTAAGCATAAGGCTTATTAGAATATCTTTATTAAGACTATTCTTAAGCTTAAGTAGATTAATAAGAATAAGCTTAGTACTCTTTATAAGAAAATAAGTTAAGCTATTATAGAGTATATTAGCGTAAACTAATCTAATATATAAAGTAAGAAGTATAAGAACTCTAAGAGAAGGCTAAAAAAACTAATTTAAGATTTTAAGATAAATATTACGTCTTTAGAGAAAAATAGAAGCTCTATTCTCTTAGCTAAGTATAGTCTCTTTATAAGTAAGATTAATAAGGCTTAAAAAAAGCTTAATAGTACTAAGAAGTATTTAGCAGTTCTTATTATCTAAATCTAACTCTAGTAGAGCCTTTTATAGCTAATTTAGCTTTCTTTAAGTTATTATATCTTAGACTATAGCTAGTAGGTATTATAAGAGTAGTGCCTAGATCTTTAAGACTTAAGCTAAGCTATTATAGGCTATTCTAGCGTAGATTTACTTAGTAATCTCTAGATAGTAAAATGCTAAGAAGATTCTTTCTTCTATCTTTTCTTAGTAATATATTTTTATTATTAGATTCTTTTATCTCTAAATTTATATTAGATTATTATATAGTACTTATTTTTAAGAATACTAATTATTTTCTTCTAATATAAGATAATCTATTATAGGCTATAATAGCTCTAAGAGATATAGTTTATTTATTACTACTCTCTTCTTTTATTTAGAAGTTAATCTTAGTATCTAATATCTATATTTTAGTTTATTTAGCTATTATTATACTTTCTACGTTATATTTAAGTAGATATAGTATCTTAGAATCTTCTTAGAGTATTTTTCTAAAATATTTAAGCTAAGTTCTTATAAGTACTTATCTTTAGAGTAGTTTTTCTATTTAACTAAGTACTTCTATTAGCTATTATTTATTATTCTCTTATTTATAATTTTATCTACTTTATAGATATTATTATCTCTAAAATTATATAGAGTATCTATAATATTAGTTATAGAGTATAGAATTTTACTTATTAGATTATATAGCTCTAATAAAGAGGCATAAAAGATAGAGTATATATTTAGAAAGCTCTTAAGCTTAACTCTAAATACTAAAGAGCTTATTTACTTATTAATAACTTCTAAAGCAAATTTCTAGTCTAGTTTCTTCTTT